AGAGAAAGAGTGAGAGAGAGAGAGAGAGAGAGAGAGAGAAAGAGTGAGAGAGAGAGAGAGAGAGAGAGAGAGAGAGAGAATCACTGACATTCAGTCAATGACAAGAAACAAATAGAAAAGTTGAGGTGTTCACAGTTGACACAAAGAGATCTATAAATCTATTTCCATAGGCAAACTTGAAACAGCAAAGTTGTAGTGTAACTTTTAGTTTTTCACAATTTCCAGCACCTGTTACAAATGATACAGAAACAAACGAACTTCATTCAAACCCCTTTATTTCAAAATCAGTATCGATTTTTTCTATTTAAAAAACAGTGTACAATAAAAAGCAGCGTACAAGTCAGTTATCATCTGATATACTCATCGAATTTGAGAAAGGCACCCTCCCCTCCCCCCACCAAAAGAAAGAAGAAGAAATAACACAAGGTAAGGCAAACAAAGCACAAAAAAACCCACTAGCCATAAACTTATACTCACTTGTCATCCGTGGATTGAGCCAAACACACACTGCCTTGTTCCATCTTCATTTCAGCATCAACTTTTGACGTTTCTTCTTCATCTGTCGACCCGTCTGATTCCATCTGCTCCGCTATTGCATTCTCCAGTGATTCCAGTCTTCATAAAAAGATGGCACAGATAAAATGATAACTCATTTTTAGCCAAATCTTAAATCCAGTGATCTCTCTCTATTTTTTTATTACTTACAGGAATATGATATTTCCTGTGCATAGTAGTGCTGTGCGATTTGAGGACACGAAACTTCAAAGAGGCTTGAAAGCGTGAAGTCACTATTCCAGCTATTCGAATAGCATGTGAGAACCGTTCCTTTTTATATAGAAGTCCATCAGCAACAACTGCTATTCAATACCCACAGCACTGTTTATTGAGCATTCTATGGCATGCTTGCACTGTGATACAAAGACATCACATCACTATTCATACTGATTCCAATTCCAAACAGGGTAACGGGAGCTCTTTGCACCTGCCTACTATCAATTTCTTGCAAAGCCATCTACAGTATCTTGATAACTGTATCTTGATATTTGAGAGTCATGGGTCCCTGAGCATTCATGGTGTGACTAGTGAATATTGAATATATAGAAGTTAAGACTTTTAGAGACATGTTTTATAACTCTAGTTGGCTTCACTTATCACTCCATCTCATAATCATTAAGAACAAAGTATTGCTGCTATTACCTCAGTGATTTAAGATTCTTTTTTCATACGGGTAGCAAACAACAACAATGAGACAAAAATCCTTCTTTTGTAAAAATAACAAGGCATTCTAACGACTGCTATGTTTCAAATAACGTAATAACACCCTAAAAATTCGTAAAATTTTAAAAGCACAGTCGAATGGGTACAGTTCATCCACAAAATACCTGAGAAAAGACACAATGCAACGTGTGTCCATCTAAAGGCCCACTTGCTTAGACTAGCATGCTAAGACCTGTAGACAGCAGACAGACTGTGCACATTAATTATGAAGCCAAACCTGTTCTTACAGCCACCTGTCCAAGACAATCCCCTGTGAAAACAACCACTTTTCCTTTCACATATCTTTTGTTGTAATGACACCGTCAAAGATGTCCACCTATCTGAAACAAACACTTTTTCCACTACAAAAGGTTGCCATCTCGGACAACTTTCAACTGTACAAACACGCACAAAAACTAAAAAAAAATCTACTTACTCTTCGATGGTGTCCCACTTTTGAATGTAGAAAAGCTCAGGGCTGATTATGCTTCCGATGTTCACAGCGTGGAACTCTTGGTTGCTGGTCAGAGTTTCCTGCATCAACTCGATTTCCCTGTTCAAACACAAACATTTGATACATTTCTCTTTAATACTTACAGTACTGAATGCTCTTATAGGGAAAAACCTTCAAGAGCCTCACCAGTTTAGAGTACTGAAGCAACAGTGGAATCTTTTTAAAATAAAAAAAGACTTGTAGCCCAAGAAACACACTTTAAAAATTCAGTTTCATCAACCATTCAGCCATCATACAGAGTGACAGTCTTTGGTATTTACTTAAGTGCAGGGCGTCCGTTCGTTGTCTAAATACGTTTAGTAAGCCTGGTCGAGTTGGTGACTTAAGTCGCTGGTGGTAATGAGCGCATACTACAGCCTGGCGACTAAAGTCACCGAAGATACTGCAAGACTTTAAAAATTCCTTACACTGAGAAAAAAAAAAGAAAACAATACACAATCATAATAAATAACAATTGTGTCCAGTATGCATTTATAATTAAAAGAGTAATAACTTAAATTATTTTTCGTCTTACAAGATCGAAGAAAACAAATTTCAATCCGGCATGAGGTGAAAAGGGATGGCGATGATGAAAGCTTGACTTGTGAAGCGGGGGGGAAAAAATGGATTATATAATCTTGAAATATATCTTGCAGGACAGTCAAAAGATCTTCAAGAAAATTTCCCATTAATATGAGCCCAAAACTTAATTCCTCGTAGTTGCTCTTCTATAAATATTCCTTCACTCAGTAGACTAGGCCCCTTCTCATATTAAAGCAATACATACAAGTGTAAGAGTACGATTTTTACTTTTAGGTAGAAAAAAAAACATGTTTAAAAATGTGTTTTCAGTGTTTTAATATGGGTAACAGAAAACAACTTTTTTCAAAATCAAACAACAGTTCAGTACACAAGAACTCAAAGTCATTAGTACAGTATCACTACTTACAAGCAATAGTCAAAGTACTTTCTCATGATTTGTTCTGGTATTTCTGTCTTTCCTCTGCATAGTTTATAGAGCTGTTGAATGTGCTGGAGAAACAAAGAAGATTTTTTATGGTCAATCACTATTCTTGCATTCAGCAAAATAAAGATAAACTCTCCCAACTTACAGTCGACAGCTACAAGAAAACCTTACCTTCCCACATATCATATAAATAATACAATTCTCTGTCTTCATTATTCCATTCAACAAATCTTATCCAAAAGCAAAGTAAGAGCTGCTTCCACAACTTTTATTTTTTTCTGACTTGCTTGAAAGCAAACCCATCCCTCCAACCCAAAAGACACAGCAAAACATTTGTAGACCCTAGTAGTAGTGACCCGGACCTGTCAAAAGCTCCATGACCAAAACTATGAGGAGTCCTTGGAATCCTCCCGTAGAAACAGGAGTTTAGGAAGTTTCCATAATCTGAAGAAATAAAAATTATGTAACAAACAAACCATGGAAAGGAATCAATTATTGCAAATACATACAACTATAAAAATGTGTATTTTATGTAATTTACTATAAATCACATGCGACCTGACAGAAATGGTCATTATACAATTCAAGGGGAAAAAAAAACGAATCTCGTATAAATCTAAACAGGGTTCTTCGACTAGCCCCCAAATTTATTTTTTTCATGGATAATTTCAATCAGAGTATTTAACAAGTCTGGGTAATCCATCAAACAAAGTCTCTGGAACCACAAACATTATATAAATGTAGACAGTGCCAGAAAAAGAGGACACCTACATCTGGATTGGGAGTGGCCAGTTTGTTAGCCAAAAGCTCCTGGCGGATTACGAGGTTATTCGCCTTGCCAACATTTTTCAGGAAAACTTGATGGACCAGAGGATCCAGCCACATCGTCACACCAAGCCTGTGGTAGAAACAATATAAATAACATTATACAGTCATTTCACCTTGGTGAGATCTTTCAAATAATTAATCTCTAATCAAGATGCATTTGGGGAAAGGTGGTTGAAGAGCAGATATAAAAACAAACTCAATCAACCAAATTTCAGTAATGCTTCCGATTCTTCTGGCAAATTCTTGAAATCCGCCTTTTTCACTCATTCCATTACTCCACTGTCTTCTACATGACATCAAGTGAACGGTAGTCACAGACTCACCTGTAAAAACTATGTCAACTCCTCTTGAGTTTAAATATTTCACTGCTCAAGTGTACACATGAATGTCTGCTGGTAAATCTCCTTAACTGATTAGGTCCATTTCGCCACTGACAGCGGCTCTGGGTTTTTCCACTGTCGTCATTCGACTGCTGTGAGCTGCTCGGCGAAATCCAAAACGAATGTGCACTTTTTAACATAGTTCCTACTTTTTAAGTTGTCGAAAGGAAGCAGAACTTGTAAACAAGGGTGGTTGGCGGGTGCTCTGGTGTGGTTTGCTTCTTCTTTTCTATGAAACATCTATCGTCCTTATCTCCCCTTCTTCTTTTTTATGTTTGTTACTCTCTTGTAACATCTCTAATCTTCTGGTGCTCTTATGATCTTATGCAATAGCGAGCGCCGTAAAACCTCTACTAAAACTAAACAAGCCTGACCTCAATCTCTGAGCACCAAAATCGACCGAAACTCCGCATATTCTTGCAAAAATCATTGTTTTGTTGCCGCTAAGTAAGGGTAAACAACACGGAGCCTGGTATAATAAAAAGGCCCTTCAGTGAAAGATATTCAACTAAATTTGTGAAATTCTTGAATAAATGTGTGCTAGGGTGATATCTCTACAATTTTTTGTTGATTCCTATGGATTATAAGGACTTGTAGAGCTGAGAAAATGAGGTAAGTTGAAATTTTCGAAGAGGCGTTGCGCAATTTTTTTTCTCATTCGTTTTTGTCTGAGGGAAAATACAATACAAACAGAATATAGGTCATTGTAATTCATATAAACAGATTCCTCTACTGATTCCCATTAGTTGGATGTATGACAATACACATTAGAGTAACTCAGAGCTTCACAGTAATGCATTAAATAGATGCACCCCAGGTCAAAAACTGAACAGGGAAAAATAACTGTCCAGAGCCATGAAAAAAATTATGGATGGAATCAGTTAAAGAGCTTTTTCCAGATTCTTATGGCATATTTTTGAATATTCGCTTTTTCAGATCATTCCATTACTCCACAGTCTCCTAAAGGACATCAAGAGTATGGCAGTCAAGAATTCACATATATCAAATCATTATCTCATTATCATAAATACTGTTGCCATCAGCACACCTGAGAACAACGCGCCCAGTGAGCTCCTTTCCCTCGACGAGTTCATGAGCAAAAAGATCAGCCTGTGGATGTACATATGTACAAAAACTTGACTAGAAAACAGAATCAAATTAAACGTTAAATCGGTCTCACATCTCATGCGATTTCACATACTTCTATACCTTATCAGAACATATGAAAAAGAGATTTCTGTAACAAAAAAAGTTTGCTTGCACAATGTCCCAGAGACAAAAGATGAAAAACAAATTTCTACCCATGAAAATCCATGCATGAAAATGAAACTGGGAATTCATTTCTGAAAAACTTTATGTGCAAAGAAATTCTGTACAGTATCACGAAGAAGGCCAAAATCCCACAAAAACTTTATTCCCTCTATGAAAGACTTTTATCACACATACTTACCTTGTCTGTCCATTCGCTATCTCTGTCCATGGGTTTTATTCTACATACATACACCTCAACAGCCTGAAAAAACAAAACAAAAAAAACAAATTCAGTATACAGTCAAACTTGCTCTAGTGGCCACCTTGGTCGAAAAAGTAAAAGAAGAAGAAACTTTATGTACAGAATGAAGAAATGTAAACCAATTAGGAGGAGGAGGAAGAAAAGGATGAGCAAGAACAAGACAGGGTAGAGAAAGAAAAAGCAAAAAAGAAGAACAACAATAAAGAAATACCTGGTAAGGAATTTCAGCCAACTCCTTGGGTAACTGCACCAGCTGATCCACGGTGCCCTCTGCGTGGACGGCCGCATCGACAAGCCACACCCGGCAGTGACGCATCGGGGAAGAGGCCGAGCCCTCCCACGTCTCCACAACTTTGGCTCTAGAGGAAGGTTTTTTTAGTTTTAGTAAGTGTTTCACAGCACTAGCAACACAAAAAGGTCATATAAGTGCTGAAGATTAGAGGTGTTAAAAGAGAGTAACAAACACAAAAAAGAAGTAAGGGAGATAAGGATGATAGGTGTTTGATAGGAAAGAAGGAGCAAACCACACCAGAGCACCAGCCAACCACTCACGCTCTACAGGAAGATGAAACCCAGAGTATTAGTGGATTGGGTGGGGGGGAAGAAAGAATCCAGTGATATGGAAGAACCACATTGCCCTTTACTTTCAATAGTCTTTGTTTACTTGGGTAAAGAGAAGCGTAACAAAACAGTGCAGAGAAAAGAAAAAAAACAAGACAGATAAGACAGAAATAAGAGAAAGAAAATTTGGAGGATGTACGAGTGGCACCCTCTAACCACCCGCAGAGAAAAAATTAAGTGATAAGGAAGCGCCACATTACCTTATATTTACAACAATCTTTGGATTGTTTTTTAATTGAGTAAAGAGAAGCACCATATCAACAAAATAATCGCCATTTACTGTAAGGTGAAAAAGTAAGACATGCAAACTGAAGAAAGAGAAGGAAAGAGATGAGAAGTCTTTTTTTTTTATAGTAAAGGGTTTTACGGCGCTTGAACTGCATAAGGTCATATGAGCGCCAAGGGGTGGGTGTCAACAGAGAAGTCTTTACAGGGAATCAGACTTACTCTGCTCACCTCTCTAGCTTCAACAGCACAAGGTCAGCTTCAACTATCAAGGCACCCCGGAAATAGCAAGTCACAAGAGTGTGACAAACATACAAAAGAAGAAGAGGAAAATGACAATAGTAAGGATTAGGAAAGAAAAAGCAGCAGTTCCCTGTTGTAGATCAGGCATAGTTATGAGCGTGACATGAATCAGCCCATTTACAATTCTACTGTGCTTGAACGAGAAATGTCCCCCCTTTAGGAATGATCGAAAGACACCACAGTCAGTGGCCCTGCTCCGGGGAGATTGAGAAATCTTTGAGAAAAAAACCAAGGACAATACAGAAATAACAAAAAGGTAGTAAAGAAGAACAGGGCCAAAGTTGCCGCCTTGGATAATTAGCAAAGGAAAATATATATTCCGTAAATGAAAATGGTTGAGATGATATCTCTATATTTTCACTATGCAGAACTAAGAAGCCAAAGTAAAATTTTAGAACAAAGGATTGGTGGAGACCATACATAAAGACAACATTATTCATACTGTGGTGAGTTTTCTTTTTTTTCAATGTGGGTGTTTATTTGCACACTCATTACAATTTAGATCATTTAGGATGCAGATTTCGACCATGCTTGTCAGGCTTAACCCGGGCCTAGACAGAGACAACGTCCCAACAGAGAGACCAAGATACTCAATAAAATTCTCCCAACACAGGAATCAAACTCGAGTTTTCTGCATGCCAGGGCAAAGCACCTTACGGCTAAATCGGACACCAGTATACTTTTTAGTGGCGAAACAATGATCTGGTTGATGATATTAAGGAGTGCAAAAAGCTTTCTGATCAGAGCGTCCTATGTGCAGTATTCCAACCACAATGAAAGTAATAAACTTTATACTCAAAGCCATTTACTCAGTTACTCAAAAACCTACCTGTAAAATACGTCACCTTTGTCTTTGAAAGCACACAGCCCATCTGAATCTGTAAGAATAACAAATAATTAAAATATCCATTTTTACAGGAACACAAACTCCAATGCTATTAGTAAAGAGATAAAAAGCTACTATTTTACCATAACTTACCCATGATTCTGAACTTACAAATCTAAGTCAGGAGGCAACGAAGGGGTTAACGTGAAAAGTATCAATATCGAAATCATGATAAAGTGCCAGATCTGACACAGACATTGGTTAATCATCGTTTTCCATTTAATCCTCCGCTCAGATGCTTTAAAAAATTCCACATTATCCTGGTGTTTCCCAGTCACCCATCTGTTCAGGTTTTTCAAATGTGTTAGTCTAAGTCTGCCCCTGCCTCTTAGGCCTTTTGCTTAGACTGAAAACAAAAAACAAAAACAATTTTAAAAAACAAAACTAGAGACCAATATGTTCGTTGTTGTTATCGATCCAGACCGATATGTTCGTAAAATGTAGAAAACTTACAGCAGTCTTGACTGGGTACAAAAGGCACGTGGTTACTCTCCTTGCAGTAGAAGAGTGTCATGTGCAGCACCAGCTGCTGATACTGAGCCCGCAAGTCCGTCTTTACGTTGTCCGTCTGTGACACATGCTCCACTAGGTGGCAGTGGTAGCATGTGGCGTTCACTACCTGGATGATTTGCACCTGTCAAGACAACATTTATAAGGGTGGAGAGAATCAAAATGGGGTTCAGACACTAAATCTTCAAAATATGTTCTATATTATCACCCTTAAAAGTATATGTTTGTTAGGCTAACAAAATATAAAATAGGAATAAAATCTCAAAACAAGACAAAGAAATATACAATGAACTTTGTTATAAAAAAGCTCAAATAAAAATTATTTTGGACATAATTCTATCCACACTTTTAGAGTGTAATTAAATGAGCATTTTCTCTTTTCTTGAACATCATTTTCAGTTAAGTCAACAGTGTAAAACATATCACGAATAAGCAATTTTGTAGCTTCCCCCCATTAATTACTAAAAGTCAGGGAGACATTCATTCATCGGTTTTAAAAAATTTTTAAAACAGTTTTAAGTAATGACAGTCACGAGTACTCCTTATTCAATTGTGAAGTGATGCCACTCAAAATACAAACTTTAAAATTTCAGGGGGTGGGGTTCACACTGTCAACACGCAAATGTGTCCAATATCGCTCACACGATGCCTGCAAGTGATCACCCGCCAACAGAAATCTTCATAGTATTAATCACTACAGAAACCAGGGATAAAAAATTTGATAAAAAAATACCATAGCAAAGAACATTCGCAACAATAACTAACTGCTTTTACTCATAAGACAAACGTGTTCAAAAGAAAGACATTCAATTTCAGTCATCCTTCCTGTACACATAAGAAATATCATCCATGCTCAGGACAGAATGTAAAAAAAATTTGAGCTCTATGCCATGTATCTCCCTGTCATACCATGAACATGTGTCCACTGTGCTGCATGTCTTTTGAAACGTTTCAAATCACAGTTTAAAAAAACTTTTCACAAGAGAGCTCCTCAAAATTTGTGATATGCTTCATCATTATGACATTTACGTTTTTTAGTATAACCACTATGAAGAAAATTGATTCCACTTCTGAGATCAGGTCACATTCCTACTTGTAATTCGGCACCATAGAAGAGTATAACATTTCAGCAATAGCTATGAGTTCCATCTACAAAAAAGCAACATCTACAGGACATATCCAGTCGTATCTTGAGAAACACAATGGCATCACATCCATAAAGCAGCACATCAACTATTGTACAAGAAACAATTTGAGGCAATCCACATTCGCGGATATATCCAGAAACAAGCCAGCCCAATGACCTGACATATCGGGTGGCGCCCTAAAAGAGACATTGGCGTCACATCCATTAAGCAACACACGAACTATAGTTCAAGACACAGTTTGAGACAATTCACATTATTGGAAATATCCCAAAACAGCCAAATCCAACTACCTTAACCTCTCCTTGAGCTGGGAGCGAGTTGCTCGTGACTTCGCCTGTCTTTAGATCTTGCTCTGGCATCAGAATATGGCGATACTCACATCTGTCACAATTGCTAAGAAAAGATAAAATAAGATACATCTTTATTGTCCAGATCCTGACACATTTGTTTGGTGTTTCACCACGTACACACATACACACAAACGTGCACACACACACACACACACACACACACACATGCAGGCTTACAGTCACATGTATAATATAAATGAACAGTAATGTAAACAATAAAGTAAAGTTAGATACATACTCAGTTTAAAAAATGGGTAAACAAATAGAAAAATTAGTCACAAACTCATACTGGCAGACTTTGATGAACGATGCACACAACAAATACTACCATTTCACATCAGCTGAATAAAAATAACTACCTTATAACAAATATCAATCACAGATCATCATCATTAAGTGTCAAATTTAAAGGTAAAGGACTTCCATTTTTCTTCATTTTCAGCCAAGCATATCTCTTGCACCGGGCTTTGGTGTTTGGCATCCCTTGCTGTGTTCTAGATGGAGTTATAAAAGGCAAAGTTTTAACGGTCATTTTGCTATCACATCACTTCATCGAAACAATTGAAAAAAGTGAAATTTCATTACTGGCCTTTGCTCCAAATATATGAATGAATGAATGAATGTAATGAATAATTCATTTTAAATTACAGGCATTGTAACTTAAACTTACATGCAGTTTCCGAATGCTTTTAGGAAAGGGCACAGAGGTTTCCTCTCATCTTTCTCCAAACCCTGTAAATACAAACAAGTATATCCTTAAAAAAGGAGAACCCCACAGAGCATACTCTCATGGCAAGCTTTAACAACATAAATTTAAATATGTGAGCAACATAATTTATATAAAGTCAACAATAAGGTGTGCTAGTCATATCATCAGATTCAACAATATCCAATACAATAAAATCCATTTTATATGCAGTTCCCTTTACAGTAATAAAAACAGGCATGCTCAAAACCAAAACCAAATTGAGAACACAGTAATTTTCATACCCCTAGCAACTTTAGGAAAAAAACTGTCATTGAAGATGGGTATTGTACACAGAAATCCTAAGAATTGCAATTTATAGCCAGCCAGAAACTTTGAATCGTTTTGCAATAAAGTTTTTGCTGCCACAAAAAGATCCATATTACCATCTGAAAACCTTGAAGGAAGTTTTGCAGCTGAGGTGGCATCTCTGCTTTGCACCTCTGTAAAACCTCAAACAGACTCTGTGCTCGATCGGCCCGGTCCTCTGTGATGATCACGTGCGACACAGGCTCGGGCCGTGGGCGGCTGTTGTGGTTCAGCTGTGAAGGCACGACAAAAGCAAGCAATAGTGCAACAATCATGGAAAAGACTAGGACAACATGAAAAAAAAAGGGGGAAGAATGAAATAAGGAAAAAAATGGGGGGGGGGAAACAACTTTTTTTACCATTTCCAATACTTCCACGAATATCTCTTAAAATATTGTAAAACAGCAACTTGAAATTTCTACACACATCAATGGAAAGAGATGTCATTGAAAAAAGAATTTTGCTGTATTGAGTCCATTTTATTTGTTTAAAAGATAAGCCACTTTTGGAGCGAGCTGAAAGGTGCGTTAAGCATATTATCACTGAGAACCCTAGTATCTTTCCTAATCCAGTTTTTCAATATTTTTATGAGCTGAGGAGAAATGTGAAACCTCTTTTTGCTCTAGAACTAAATCACAGACACAGACTCCATATGAGACAGAGCTGCTTGTAAGATATAATGCTTTAAACAAAGACTATCCTCTTAGCAGCATATTTGCCCACTCTCAAGCTTACATCTCCCTGTAACAAGCAGTAGACTTTAGGTACTGCTGTGTGAAATTGTATAAGGTTAACACACCTTGAAAAATTGTAAGGCTATTTTAAAGGTAGGACTTCTGAAATTAACACCCATCTCAGACAGGATAGAGCCAAATGAGAAAAATATGTGTAAAGTGCCTATCCCAAGGGCACGACATTGGACCAAGGGGAGCCTCGAACTCCTGAACCCACAACCTCACAATCATGAGTCTAATAGCTTAACCACTACACCACCGACACCCAAGAACTGATGACCCTACCTGAGGTGGAGCAGTTTTATCGTCGAAGAAGTCCAGCATGCAGGTCAGTCTGTTTCCAAATTTGGTCTTGGAAGAGGGTAGCCCGTAGTGGATGACCGCCGTGGCGTTGGTGACGGCCAGATCCTGACAACATCTGTCCGTGCACACTGAGGAGGACATCACAATGGTATAGTCTTTTTTTTTCGTAATAGTTTTATGCACTTGCAACACAATTAAGTTGTATAAGAGCCGAAAATTAGAGGTGTTACAAGGGAGTAAAAAAACACAAAAAAGAAGAAGGGGGGAGATAAAGATGATAGATGTTTGATAGGAAAGAAGGAGTAAACTACATCAGAGCACCTGCCAACCATCCACATTTAGTCTAGCACACATGCAGCAATACCGGCAGGAAGTGGAAAACCTTTTCTTATGTACGAATTTTACTACGTATGCATTTCCAATACAAAAAAAAACAAACCAGGTATGTAAGAAAAAATTTGGACCTTAAAATATGTTCGCTATGTTTGTATTTCACTATGAGTACGCCAGAATGTATGTAGTACCCCTCGAAAAAGTCATCTAAAATTGCAAGTGTCAATATTGGGATATGGTGGGGTTTTCTTAAGCAAGGTATGACACGTGATGTTGCATAAACCTTGTTATCTTAGGATCTAAATAAATGACTCAATCAAAGGTAAGCTGTTTAAGTTCTACAGAAAACAATTCAGAATTTCATGGTTGGCTACACACAAAATGTGGAAAGCCAGGTACAGAAGCAGACAACCCAGTGCATACTGTTGAAATGTCAAAATTAAAAAGGCAAAAGAAGTAAGCTATACCCATGAGGAGCAGCTGCTTTGAACGGGATGCCTCAAGCCACAACACCCTAGCCTCTTCAATCATCTCCTCAGACTCTAGACGCTCATGGATAATAAGGCTATAGATGCCACGAGACTTTGCAGCCTGAAACATAGGAGAATAGAAATTTACAAACCACAAACCAGATATGGGGCTTTAAGAAAAAAAAACCCACCTACGAGAGCTATCTCCAAACTTACAAAATCAAATTTTAAAAAAAAGACATTTTAGATATAAGGCAAGAACACAGAAGTGTTGGTGGTAACAAATGAACTCATGACACAAAAAAAAATAAAAACCAATATATGTAATAAGATACCACAAATACATTGATACAATAACCTCCCCCAAAAATATGCAATATTGGATACATTTAATAACACCCCTTGCAAGTTTATTTAAGAGTCGGGAACATGCTTTCCTAAGGACACAACGTTGGACCAAGCTGAGCCGCAAACCCTTGAACCCAAAATCTCACAATTATGAGCATTATCACTTGACTGCTGAAGGCACCATTAATCATTTAATGCACAAAAAAGGCAAGGCAGTAAAAAACAGAGAGAGAGAAAAAAATGTTGGACCTATCAGTGGACCCTCCAAACATCCGGGACATGAAGAAATCATCAAAGTGACCAAGAGTGGCACCTACCTATCTTGGGGGCTCAAGTGGCTAAGTGAGCAGTCCGTTTAGACTCAAAAATAATGTCAAGCAAGTGTCAGTGACATGAGGTTTACATGGGTGGTCACTGGGGTGTGTCCTTGAGCAAGACACGACAACCCTAGCTAAAAAAAAAACAGAGCGCTGAACAGTGACTACCAGCAATAACAGATTTGTGACATTGTTCAGTATTGGTGTAATATTGTGCGTACATGTAGATATTTCTTATTGTGTATGTATGTTTGCCATTGTAACTCAAATTTCCTCATGAGACCAATAAAATGACATTTACTTATATATTCATTTATTTATTAATTAATTTATTTGTATACCTTGAACATGTCTACAGCCTCTGTGACATGTTCTGAGAAGGCAATCACTTTTTCCCCAGCCGAAGTGCTTGCCAAGCTGTCTAGCAGTCCACAGAACGTCGTCAGTTTCTTGTCAGACTTGCTCATCTTCACAACCTGGATAGTTCACAAAATATTAGTTTTAGTGAGAGTTTTACAGCACTTGTAACACAAATAGGTCATAAAAATGCCAAAGATTAGAATAATCTAAGAATATGTGCACTTCATGTCCTATAAAAAAAGCCAAAAGTCTCTCCATTCACAAGCCATGTGTTCATCTGTTCCTCTCCATCATTTTATTAATGTAGATTTTTTACATCTTAAATGTGTCGGTTTCATAGCTGGGTATCACTAAAAGAGGCCTTTGTCTTACTAACCGTCCATATTCTTGATCTGAACATGAAAAAAAGAAATGCATCTCCATTCTCGCTTATGAGAGACAGCTTGTGAAGATAGGATGGAATACCAAAGAATTAAGGTAGGAAGTATCCTGCTAGCTGGATCTTTTTCACAAGTAATTGATTTTTAATAACTTCCCAGCTTGAGATATCCTCTGAGAAACCATTTCTGGCTTTTTGCTAAAAATGAGAGGCCTGTTAATAAAAACTTAAACAATGCCACAGCAGCAAGAGTATAAACCATCAAGACACATACATACAAATACACTCACAGGGGACATAAAGGAACAAATTCCACTGTAAGACATTCAATCTTAACACGAAATACTTGACAAAAACACAAAGAGAACAATTTCTTCACATACTTAATATCTAATAACTTCTTATCCCGAAAAGAGTACTTCACACATACTCCTAACAAACAGCAGCACAAGACAAGGACATACTTTTAAATCACAAACAGATCTATTTGTTTGGATCAGTAAGGTTTTCAGGCGATCGCAACTGCATAAGGTCACATGAGCACCAAGGGGTGGATGTCAACACAGAAGTCTAAACGGGGAATCAGGCTTACTCTGCTCACCTCTCTAGCCTCTGAGCACAAAGTCTACTTCGACTATCAAGGCATCCCGGAAATAGCAGTTCACAAGAGAGTGACAAACATTTTTTAAAAATTAGATGAAAAAAAATGACGATAGTAAGGACGAGAAAAGAAAAAGCAGCAGTTCCCCCTATGTTGTTTCGGCAGAGTATGAGCATGACATCGATAAATCAGCCCATTTACAATTCTACTGTGCAAAGAACATGATGTTAATACCCCCCTTGGGGAATGGCCTAAAGACACCAGTCAGTAGCACTGCCCTGGGGGGGGGTTACAAACAGATCTGTTAGTTGTCAAAACTCTTAAGGCCAGTATTCCAACCAAAGGTGTACTTCTCAGAACTTTGAAAGGCCGGTGCACTTGAGTCTTACCATACTAAAGTTTTAAAAGTAGTCCAGAGAAAGGGGATTTGGGGACAGTCAACATCAAGAGTTTACAGGGTTATCTAAACACATCAGCTGTTATGCTACCTGCTTCACTCCCCCGTAGACGGCCGCCTCCACCCGGGAAGAGAACACAATCACCGGTTCTTTCGTGAACTTGGCACGGAATTCATCAACAGCACTACTCCAGCGACTTCCAAAGATCATGATTTGCTTTGGAACAGTTTGGTGCTTGCGGCTATTCAGAACAATTTTGTACTGCTGCATCAGGTCACTAATCTAGATTTACAAAAGAATAAAGAAATATAAAATAAAGAGCTGTTTTTACATCCAATTAAAAACAGTCCTCATGAAGACTACTGGGAAAAGAAAACGGCAAACTCACATTTTATGATTTTGAGAAATCTTCGTTGCAAAGTTTGGCATTTCATCTTGTGTTTTTAAGGATATAAAATTCTTTGTTATTTATACAGGAACAAGCTATTTTTCTACTTTAAAACGTCGTGTTAAGCTGTAATATAATGAAGTATCTTTTATAATATACTTTTTTTTAGTACTGAATAATCAAACATCAATATTTTGTCAATAAAAACTTAAATCAAAATCAGCTCCGTACAGTACTTGAGCAAAACCTACCACAAGTTTTTCACTACTGCTACAGGTGACCTATAAAGTATATGCAATTTTAAGCTCAAGAGAAAATAAAATTCATACAGTTCAGTTAGACCAACACTAAACCCAGAAAAATGAAAGCGATGGAATTTTTTTTAAACTGTCCTATCAAGGAGTAAAACAAAACTAACAGCATGGCTCAGTTCATATCTTGCACTGGACAAACACTCTAAGCATCAAATAAAAGACGTACCTCATCTGAAAAACGAGTTGCTAAAATTTCAGCATCATCCAGAACCTGTCAAAAATAAAGCAACAACTGAAAGACCACACTACAGCATGACAATGTGCACTAGAAAGAAAGCCACTACTGAATTAAATCCCACTTCAGAATGAAGTCTTGTCCTCCTCCCCTCACACATGAGGGGATACATTCTTCAGGTCACCATAACTACAGAAAAGACAGCATCCAGGTTGAACGTATCAGCTCTGCTCGGATTAAATAGAGCTTGCATTTATCTTAAAATTTAGAAAAAGAGTTCACTAATGTTTGTAGAAAATAAAAAATAAGTGGGGACTGAATAAATAAAAGAATGCATTTATATATAATTTTAAAAGCAATATCTAACTACTCTTTGCAGAAACAAAACCAAAAAAAAAAGAGAAAAAGAAGATAAGAAATTAACCAAAACGAGAATAAAAGGACACAACAAAACAGCAATTACCTTCTATTCCTATTAAATCTTGTACATTTACTTGTGGAAAACCTTCTCTAATTAATTAAGCTTATCATAAATTCTTTCATTTCACATCTTCTTATTTAAAATGTTAGAATCAAATCAAGCCGCAGAAATACTGGCATTGCTTCCGAAGTCAAACTTAACTTCTAAAATTTGTTAAAAGAAAAATCTGAAATATGTGGTAATATAAAACATTGTCGCACAAGAAACATGGTTAATAGGAACATTTAACAGGATTCACAACGTCCTTAATTTCCCAAAAACCCAAAAAGCCAGAAAAAAAACTACCCGTAACAAATATTCAGGGAAACAGCAAACTTCACACTTAGCACTAGACACTTACAATATGGCACACTCTTTTCAAGCTCGTCTTCTCATCTGCCAGTGCTCGGAGCAAACTGTTGGGAGTTGCAATCAAAATTTCACACCCTCGGAACAGTTCTGTGGTCGTCTGAAACCAGAAGTAAATAACATTTGGGAAAAGACATTAATATCAGGCAGCACTATCCAGCAGAACAACAATTTAACTTTAACATCACAATCAGAGCAAGTGATCTGTAACAGCAAAATGCGAAAAGGGAAATTCTGTGAAACAATATAATAACACACAAGATTTTAGTTTATCAACGGCACTTGTGACACATATAGGTTATATACTTGCCAAAAATACAAGATTTAGTTTTTAGTTTTAAAAAGTTTAATGGCAACTGAAACATAGATAAGTGCTGAAGATTAGAGGTGTTACTAGAGAATAATATACAAAGAAAAGAAGGAGGAGAGACAGGGACGATTTACGTTTGACAGGAAAGAAGGAGCAACAACCACCCACTCACAGGAGATGTCCTTAAAGACAATGAAAAAGTACAGGACAATAATGGGCACCTGGAAGCTGAGAGAAACACAAAAAGCTTTCTCTCATCTATGATATCTGAGAATTGAAGACGACTATCTCATTCGAATATCAACTTGTGTGGTTTTACTTTGTGGATGCAAAAAACTGCACCAGCAGCGATCAGTTATTTGATTCATTCAGCACTCAAATCCCAAAGATATATTGTGACTGACATGCAGTTCTCTGGAAATAAGAATTGAAGCAACATAAGAATATTGCTTGGGGGAAATCGGTTGTAACATCTTCAAAACTTTTTTGTTATATTTCAACAGATTCATCATTCTTGACCATTGTCATCTCAATTTGGTACAGTTGGGCATTCAATAAAAAGTGAGAGCACTTCAAAGCACACAGAGGTCCATAGGATAAGTTTTGAAGTCAGGAAACCGCTTCCAAGACTTTCCATGATAAGGTTGAACAAAGAGTGAACTGAAAGATGCCTTGGTCTTCTGTCCGGTCCTGGCCTATTGCTACAATACCTATACACACTGCGATTCCCTAAAAAGGCAGCAAAATTCTATTCTTTTTGATAACAAAGTAGTCGGTTCCCTTCAGAATTCCTGTGGAAACAATGAGTGTCGTAACATGTTGAGCGCTTCCTGAGCTGTTATCATGCCCATGAGAAATGTGGAACTGCACTTACGGATTCATTGTCCTCTGTTCCTCCAGCATACAGTACAATGCTCTTCAGCTGTCTCATCCGCCGTAGACTTGCCCCGGTGAACTGCTCGATGAGTTCGTAGACTTCTCTTGCTTTTTTCCATGATGGAACCACTATCAAAGCCTGAGGCTGAAAAATAGATAAACAGTAAAAATGTTGACTTTTTCGAGATTACATAGTTAATGTACATAACTTTTTGAAACTGATCATAAACGTTTCCAAAGATTCCCCAGGTGAACAATACATAAGTACCAAAGATTAGGAGTGTTAGATGCAAGTTATAAACGCAAAAAACACATTTCGCTATCCCCGGCTAGCCTCATGAAATTATTCCATGTCTTCCCACTTTCCTAAGAATAAAAACATCACTTAAACAATTTTTAAGAAGCAAATCTTTTTTTTTTAAATGGCTCTTCTTACCCCTTTGCCTTTCTGCAGCTCTATGTAATTCATCTGGTCCAGTAGGTGTGATACGAGGGCTGGCACGTAGGCCATGGTCTTGCCTTGCTTCGGTGTGCTGATGCCCACGATATGGCGACACGCCAGGATGGCAGGCCACACGTAGCCTTGTATGCCCTGGCTATGTTCGCAGTCTTTGTCCAGCATCAGCTGAGGAAATAAACAAACTTGAGTTCGTAACTTTTCAGTTTTAATAAGAATTTTACAGACTTGCAACACAAATAGGTCACATAAGTGTCGAAGATTAGTTTAGTTTTAGTAGAGGTTTTACAGCGCTCGCAACTGCATGAGGTCATATGAGTGTCAGAAGATTAGAAGTGTTACAAGAGAATAACAAATATAAAAAAGAAGAAGGGGAGATAAGGACGATAGATGTGTCATAGGAAAGAAGAAGCAAACCCCACCAGAGCCCCCGCCAACCACCTAATCGAAGATTAGGCATTAGGTATTACTAGGAGTTACTAGATGTTGAAGATTAGGTGTTACTAGAGAGTAACATACAAGGAAAAGAAAGAAGAGAGAGAAGGATAATAAATGTCTGATATAAGCAAATAAGGAGCAAACCACGCAAGATTCCCTGCTTACCACCCACAGTCAAAGATCGGGGGGGGGGAGGAGGAGAGTAGAAAGTGGTCATTTGTAAAGCTGATTGTCTTGAACAGGTGATCATCAGAGAAGGTTTGACCGTACTTACTTTTATAACACTTGACTTGAAAGGCACATCGGCAACGTTCAGGTGTATTGTGGGCAGATTTTTACCGTGGGCCATCACGCCGAGGAAAGGAAGAGGAATGGGCTTGTCTGGAGGAGCAGTCTGAAAGTTTTTTTAAAAAGACCAAATATTATTGTACCTGAAACTTCAAGTTTGATGGTTCACTTTGTTTTAGTAAGTGTTTTACAGCACTTGCAACACAATAAGGTCATATAAGAGCCGAAGATTAGAAGTGTTACAGGAGAGTAACAAACACAAAAAAGGAGGGGAGATGAAGCCGATAGAAGATTGACAGGAAATAAGGAGCAAACCACATCAGAGCACCCGCTAACCACCCACGATGGCTCAGTGTAATACAGTAATCTCCGCCTAAGATCCCGGTGCTCGGGAGCAAGAAAAGGCGGGATCTTAGGTGAACCGGGGTCTTAACCGACGAACCAGGGCAGAATTTATGGTGACCCATGCTAAGGCTCACAATAGGTACAATGGTCTCCCTCCACTCTAAAATGAACTGACATGACCGCTTGGTAGGTTTATGCGTATGGCGAGCAAAGAGTGGTTAACCTTGGTAAACTATCACTGCGCATAGTGGGATGAGGGGTGCCATTTTCACTTTTTATCCTATCATGAGTCTCAAGATCAACGCGTATCCAGTTGCCCCTCCCCCTTACTTGTTGAAAATTTATAGCTTTCCATCTCTGACAGAGTCCCCCCCCCCCCAATCGCCTTTGTCGTTACACACCATTACGTTGTGAACACACCAATTAAAATTAAGTCTGTCTCGCAAATTCGGGAGTACAGACAACTTCTGCAATGGTCAGGGAAGAGTTCCCAGTTCAATGTGATCCCGCCTGGAGCGACCGTGTGCCCACCCAGCGAGTGATGTAAGTTTGGGGGGAGAGCTCAGGTGTGAGCGCGATGCGTGGGGAAAACAAACGTGTCGGTCAGTTCACACCCCGGTGTGATCCGGTCTGGGGCAAACATTGTATCGCTTCATCGAGTTTTACAACCTGTATTGATCACATTCATGATAGCGGCTGATCTTTGACGCGACGGACAGTTTATTGATCTCAACTTTTCACTCTTGGTTGATTGGCTGTCCCGCCCGGGTTTTTGTTCCGCAAATTACGATCTGAAATGCGGGATCTTAGCCGAATGTAGACCTTCAGAGTGAATCAGAGCGGGATCTTAGGGGTGACTTTTGTATTGTAAAAATTCTGTTTTCTTAAAACAGCGGGATCGTAAGCGGTGGGATCTTAGGCGGAGACTACTGTATTTTGTATTGTTTAAGTAAAAAGAAGCACATTGACACATTTAGTGATGAGAAAAAGACAGACAGACAGAAACTTCAGCGGAAAAGTTGTAAAGAAGTAGGACCTTCCAGTAGCGCCCTCTAAGCACTCGAAATATTATCTTTCAATAGACTGATAGAAAATTGCAACAAAAAAGAACAGCAAGCCAACTTAAACATTTTATGTACTTAAAATGAAAAAATGAAAAATTTGAGAAAGAGCATGAAAATCTTTTATACCGTATTATTCCAGAAACAATGTTCAAATTTATCATTAAGCTGCTTAACTTTTTTCCAAGAAACATAAAACACGAAAAAATTCCATTGCAACCACAAAAAAGCTAGACAATTTTGAACAAAATTAATATTTGCCTAATACACTTCCTAGTGTAGACAGCTGATTAAATCAGCCCATAAGTTTCGTTCTGTAGTGTCGCTGTCAATTTAATCTGTCGAAAGCAGTAACTCTAGTTACTATTTTAGTTCTCTTATCCCATTTTTTAATATCAGAAAACATTTCAACTCCTTCAGAAATGAGCTTCACTTCTTATGAACATTGTACTTACAAAAGATGTATAGGTTTATGAAGGCCTCTACTTGCTTGGTTTGCCTGTTCTCAAGCCTTTTTCAACATAATATGGTGAAATCATAGAATTTCCCTGACATCACAGACTATTTGTTTGCAAAATTTAAAGGCTTAATCTTAACTCCTTATCTCTGGCAAGCCACTCCCAGAGGCTCGCGGTCAGAATCCCTATGCCGGTGAGCTGCTGGCAGTCGCTTAGGCACATTCCCTTACGACGACTTTGACATCACAATGCTTTTCGGCAGTAACCGAAAACAGGTCTCTTTTACTGGAAGTTCACTCATTAAAAGAAAAACTATCAAAATAGATTCATATGTTTTGAATTAATGACCAGTTTGTTGTTGTTGATGTTATCGATCCAGCAACAGCTGAGCTCTCGCCCTTTTGTCCAATGCCATGTAGTGATAAGTGCAGGTCTGCTGCAGGATGACCAGTTTAGTGACGTTTATGTCGCTTTTAGATTTCGTACCAAAAAAAAGGGCCCCGACATAGTGGGTTACCCCCCCTCAGAGATGAAGATACCAACATTCAAAAACAAAAACAAATATTACACACAAAGGAAATCGACAGAGACTACTTATATCAAACACGTAATTAAGTAACTCTTTAAAATCTCACCATAGGCAGAGTGTTGTCACGGATGTGTTGCCCACTTTTAATTCTAAGCATTTCAAGCAATCTGAAAAGAAACATTTATACTTAACATATACGTATGAAAATATATACTTGACATATACATAAGAACATACTTAACATATACATATGAACATATATACTTAACATATATACATACTCTAAGGTATCGAATAAAAGGGGGTGGACAAGTGGTCCAAAAGTTGGCACATTCAACCTCATACCCCTGTACTAGTAGGAAAAAATCTGTTGTATTTTTCCTTCAGTGAATAAAAGAACAAGAGATCATGAAATTTTAGTGATTTTAGTAAGTTACTGTGACAACTTTTCCCATTAAGGAACAAACCAGTTTCATTAAAAAATAGAAACCAACGTACAAAAGTCTTGAAATCACTTTTTCCAATTTTCATCTATGAAAAAATTTTGAGAGACAGGCGCAGTCCTTTTGCTGCTGTTTAAATCTTAGCATACCGAACGCTATTCCACATTTGTAGACAACAATTTAGTCATCCAATTTTTCAGCACCACAAACTTCCTTATAACTTATAACTCCACCCTTTTACAGAAAAAAGTCGCTCAAAAGCACAAAAAACCCAAAAAATTTGCTGTTTCCAAGGACACTTCAGCTTCGGAAGTCACCAAATTTTGACAGTCATGTTCTTGCTAATCTTACCTCTGCCATCAGGCTACCCTCACTTCCTTCAATCATAAAATCTCAACTTCTATTCAAGATAGAAAGGTTGTTTTTTTTTCACTTAAAGTAAGGCAAATGAACAAGTTTTAAGATTTTATACCAATAACTCCATGTACCCAAAATTGATGAGCGCCCGATTCCACTACGTTGTGACACATTTAGACATTCACATACTTTTGTATATCAGTAGGTACCGCAGACGGCCCGTTTTCAAGGCAGACACTGGCAGACAGCCTCGGCTGAAGCCAGATTTGGACAACTTCATCCAACTATTAGCTGGTTTTAATTTTTGTAAACACTAATAAAAATGATACCACTGTTTTCTGTGTCTTTCCTTCTCCGTGATAAACGAGAAACTGATACTTATGATTGCATATTTAGTTTTTAATTGACTAAAGTTTAACACTGGAAAACTCGGCCGTCTCGCAATTTTGCGCGCTTAGATTTGGGGGGTACTTGTTTTAAATTTCGATTTCTCAGTCGTGAATCATCGAATATTCTTGCAGTTTGAAACATAAAAATCTCGGATTTCAGGAGAATGTGTTATGTTTTTATTCCGAGCGGAAAGCATGAGTGGTACGATGTAAAGACGAAGAAAGTATTTTAAAATATGAAATTCGACATAAATTGGGCTATCCGTTGCAGGATCATATTCCTAGACATCTCTACCATCTAGTTTATGTGTTTAGAAAAGCCAAGACCACGAAGTAGAAATATTACTTTTTCTGAAGTGGGGTAACAACCACTTTCGGGAGATCGTCATTCTGCCATTGCGGCTGTTCCATCGCCCATTGCCACCCCCTCTGACTTGACCCAACCAGCAGACGATTATGATGGTTCAGTAAAAGGAACATTCGATAGATCTGTTCATGGCGTCAATTTATGTAAGTGTTATCATAATTTTCTTTTAGGATACTTATGAATATCGTGTTTTGAAAAATAAGACTAATCGGCCACCACTTGCCTTGTGAATGGATTGTTATTGTTTGGTGGGAATCACGCCGACCTACATTTCCACCACCTCATAGTGAATTAACTGCGATCTATACAAATGTATAGCTGGGGGCTCTCGTGGCCTAGAGGTTAAGGTGTTCGCCTCTCATTCAAAGGCCCCGGGTTCGAATCTGGGTAGTGACCAAAAAATTTTCTTCTCTAAATTTGTCTCCTTTCACCTCCTTTCCTACTCTCTAGCAATGTTCTGTCATCTGCTTTCATCTCCTCTTTCTGCCCCCACCCCTTCCCCTCCTTTGCCCCCTCCTCTGGGCTCCTGATTCTTTCTGCAGCCTTCCTACTGCTACTCATTGGCTTCTTCTTACTGCTGTCTTTCAGCGACACCCCTGATCTTCTGGTAGGAAAGATCTACACCTAGCCTTCTCGGACAAGGGCGAAAAATCCCGGAGGTCCCGTGTGCAAGTTGTGCACGTTAAAGATCCCTTGGTGGTCTAAAATCGATAAGAGTAGGCTTCGGTCGCCACCCGGGCAAAATTCAAAATTTCCTACCAACTGAAAAAGTTTAGTGTGTCCCGCGCGCTCATATGACCTTATGCAGTTGCGAGCGCCGTAAAACACTTACAAAAACAAACAAAACAAAATGTATAGCTTCGTGGTGGTATTTTTGCTGTCTTTTCAACTAAGAACACCTTATTTATTCTAAATGCATCGAAATCTAAGCATCTCTGGTCGACAAAGTGAAAGAATAAAGCCGTGAATAGTAGAACTGGGAGTTCTATTTATAGTAACATGTCATCACACACAACTAAACACTCGGAAAGGGGTTACCGGGTGTTAGTGTTACAGACGGAAATGTTCGTAGATCTATTGTTTGGCATTTAATTTGGTAACAAAAAAGGCTAGATCTACGTTCTTGATTGGTGGATATTCAATTATTGAATCAGCCAGCCTTTTTACGTATTCTTAGACTTGGTTAGACTTAGATGTCACCTGATAATTGGAGAAATGCACCCCCCCACTCACTATTTCTCTCTTACCCCTACTCTCATACCACTCTCTTTCGCTCATTTTGTCTGTCTTCGTCCCCCCACCCACTCTTTCTTCCATCCACTTACTGGACATACGATCATACATTGTATTTCCCCAGCCACTGGTTTCTTTCTCAGCTTAAATGATAAATAAATCTAGAACTAGATCTATGTTATTATGAACCACGGTAGAACAGTATGCTGATTTAATTCCAATTTTTAAACACCCTGAGCAGAAATCTTAATTTAATTTTCTCAACCAATATTGATGACTTTTTTCACATTATTGTCCATTTCTGAAATGTTTGGAAGGTTTTTACTTTCTATATACTAATTCACTATACAGAGCCTGAAAAGAGCTTTAATTTGATATATAATGCAGCCTTGTAGCACAATTTGTTGATTTTATATGAATTTTTTTTCCAGTCGGCAGACGTTATAATTTTCACTCAATAATGGCAGGTTTTTGGGCATTAGGGCCCTATTATGGAGTGTTATGAGAGGTTTTAGTAAACAATTTTCATTTAGCCTCGTAGAGCTTGCATTGAGCTTTAATTTGATGTATGTATGATTTAGCCCTGTAGCTTAATTTGTTCACTTGTTATGATGCTTTTGCCCGAGGATGTACCAGAATTCCCATAATTTTTTTCCAAGAGGCGTTTTTTGACCGAAGCCCATTTCAGAGGAGTCCAGAAAAGTTACTTATGATCAGAGAGGTCTGAAAAAAATTCAGCTAACTCTATGGTCTATGCGTGTATTTGTAATGATTGTGTGCTTTTCACTAATGGGGAGGTAGTTTTGACTAATTTGGAAGAGGTTGAAATAGGGTTCTGAGCTCTTAATGACAAATTTTGGCTTTTTTTCTTCAATTTTTGAAGGCCTATATCTTGGAAACCAGTCATTCTAACATGCTTTCATTTCAAGATATCAATATTTGTGTTGACAGCTCTGGGAAAAACAAAGTTTTCATTGATTTGATCATGCACTTTTAATTTTAGAACCCCTCAAACATGGGTGAAAGTCGCAGTTGAAAAGGTTTCGTTCAAAAATAAAACTTTGAAATACCATATCTCAATTGTTTATTAATGGATTTCTATCATTCTTTTTTTAATGTTCTTGTTTTATAGAGTAGATTTGAACCCCTAAGGTTTAAACATCAATATTGTTCAAAAAAATTTTCGCTTGTGGTACCTAATATCAGTAGGAGACTCACCTTTGCCCCTCAATTTGGCCAACATATTTGTCCTTGCTTAGCTTGATCTCAGCACTTTTCTCCTTTGTCTCTAGAGTCTCGACAAGGGGGTCTATGGAATTTCTAGAGAACAACAGATAAAAGAAAAAAAAAATTAACCAAAGAAAGAAAAAAAAAAAAACGAACGCAAAAAAAGGAGAAAAGGAGAAAGAACTTTGATCCTCATACAACAGCCTTGGGGAAAAAAATCTGTGCAGTTCTCAGAATGTAGAGATTTGGGAAAACAAAGAAACTAGAAGCCATAAGATTTTTTAAAACGTACATTGCAGCTACTTGAAAGGCTTGTATGGAAGTTGACAAAAAAGCTTGCTATCATTCAGAGGAAGAAAGACATGCCCCTTATCAAAATTATTATATTTGATTTTTACATATTTAAGATAGTAAAGGGTTATAATCAGTATAAAAAATAAGAAGTAGTGATAAAGTCATTCTTTATTGTATTTTTTTCTTCTATTAGAGGCAACCTACCTGTAACTCTCCACCCAAAAAAGCCCAGCTCTTTCACCATTCAGAACTTTTACAGCAGTTCACCATCCCCATGTCACTGCCGTTTAATTTTTCATGTAATGTAATGGCCCATAAACAACTGCCTAAAGAGCCTAAAACTATTTCTGACCTGTATCGTAGACGGACCCCTGGATCAAGGTGTGATATTGAGTCAGAAGACGGAGATCCCTCATCTGACGAATCACCGTATTTTAACCTTCGTCTTTCACTCTTGTCTAGGCTTGTTGAACTGGTTTGCCTGTGCAGGAAAACATTTATAATTGACAACAGAGTTTCTCACCACTTTTCTGGCTATGGAAAGGTTTTGTACTTGAAAAAACAATAGACTTTTAAATTTTAGAAATAATTAAATGAACATTTATCAGATAGCCAACGAACACTGTGCACTATTCAAAGAATACAGCCCTCGAAGAACAAAATTGTAAACTGAGTCAAAAAAGTTAATTCATTTTTAGACAATTACAACCAATATGAAGGTGGTTGTTTATAGTATATGACTTTTCACTACAAAGAAAGAAAAAAGGACCAGAAAATTTCTCGATTGCTTGCAATGCAATGAGTTCCCCTCCCTGACCTAACAGAGGCAAAATTTTAATGAATTCACAAGCGCCCTATTCTCTCTCTTTTGCAACCAACTTTTATATAACGTTTCAAGGGAAGAATGAATCAGTCTCTTCTTCTATTTCGGCATTCCCCCCAAGAATTCCTGAGAAGTCAATTAAAGCAAAAAGTTCTTTAAGAAACAGTGCAATAAATTTTGACATACATGATTGTCCAGGCCTATAAGAATATACAGTAAACAGACTTTCAAACAGCCACATCCCACTTATGTAGGTGCATATTTTTTAAATTTAACTTACCTGATGATCTTCTGCTTGGTCACTGACAAACGCAGAGAATTTTGTGTATAGGCATGACTGTTCTTTTAACTAATATTGCCAAAGTTGTCCTTAACGGGTGCAACATGCACATGGGACCCCCTTATAAAAAAAACCACATATCGCTGGTGTGTAACACCAAGGAGTATAAAACTGGACCAGTCCTTACAAAACAAATACTAGTACATGAACCTGGCAGCAAACAAAGTTCTGTTTGCACAAAAGAGTACAGTTCGTTTAGACAAGGGAGCCCAAACATAATGCTCAAAAACAGGATGTTAGCTAGGCCAAAAGACCACCTTTATAATAGTTTGACTAAGAAAGTGAAATATTTTTGTCATAGACATCATCCAAAAGTATATTGATACAGATGGTTGTGGTGACATTGAATTACTGGAGAAAAAAAAGTTAAAATGGCAGGTAAATTTTAAAAATAAATCTGAATAAAATGCCTGACGATGGACATTAGGAAATGATATATGGCTGCCAGGAAGGGAAGGACACTACATTCTCACAGAAAACAGGCACTGTCGGATTAATATTATCTGCATGGGCATAGAAGAGATTAAAGTCAAACCAGTAGTGGGGACAGGAAAAGAAGGAGGACGAGAGATTATTTAGTTACCTGTGTGGGTCCTCTCCCTCAGAACTCTGGTGGTGAGACACAGCTGCTGGATCGTGCGACTCATACATATCACTGGAAACCTGGACAGAGCTTCTGCGACTATCTGACTCCATGCTGGCGGTCGTCTGATGTGATGAGACTTTTGGTCTGGCCCCTATCCTCAGGGAGAGAGGTGAAGAATTTTTCACAGGAGAAGAAGAAAAAACTGCAGCTGTTCCTCTCTCCGGAGACGAGCTGTGAGGACTGTATGTGGGTGAGGCAGCCACAGGCAACTTTGCATTGCAGTTGATATCAACAGTAGCAGCGCCACGCCCAGACTTGTGTTCGGAAGAGATAGGTTTCACAGGAGAATGAGGACGCACTGGTGACGGAACTGGAACCTGGTCAGAGGTACCGATAAGGTCACCTTGATCCAGAAGAGTTTGTTTAGAACTGTCTGTCGAGATTTTCACTGGACTTTTCAAAGATTCAAAGTCTGATCCTGGGGATTTCTGTTTTTGCGTTTCAGCAAGTAGCTGCAGTAGAGCACCTCGACCACGTCCTAGAATCAGGGGTCTCTCCTTCTCCCTGCTGGGCTGTTTCACATCTGTGGGTGATGTCACGCCTGAACCAGGTAGATCTAATCTCCCAGAAGGTGAGACATTGTCAGACTCCGTCAATCTTCGACCACAAGGTGGAGACATCATCTCTTTCTCCAGATCACTTGAATATTGGCTTCTCTCCAAAGAATGTATGTCCTGTGTTTGTTCATTGTACTTCTCAGGTGAAGAATGCTTCATGACTTCCTCAGCTTGACTGAAGAAGGATTTGACATTTTCCTCCATTGCTAGGCTGCAAACCTCACTCTGTATCGTGTGTGACTGGCTGCTGGTTTCACTACTGTTCACGACCGGCAAGAGAGGTGGCATGTCATCTGATGGATCTGGAGGTTCCACTGTCTTAGAACTCAAAGCAGAAACAGAAGAAGAAAGAGGCAGATCCTGACGCTGGGGTGTTGACCTTTCAGACTGTATCTGATCTGTCGACTCACGCGCCAGTTTTGAATCATGTTTGCCTGATTCATCTGTCAAGAGAAATGGGAAAAAAGTTAAACCATGGTACCGGGGCTTGGGGGTGGGGGAGGAGGAGGAGAGGGAGGGCAAGGAGGAGGAGAGAGAAGATAAGAAAAGGAGGATGACAAGGAGGAGGAGGAGGAGAACGAGAAGGAGGAGGAGGAAGAAGAAGAGAAGAAGATGGGGAGGGGGAGTGAGGATTAAAAGAACATTGACACTATGTGTACCTATTCCTGGCCACTAGACCAGGGATAAACTAAGCCCTATCAAGAAAGGGCATCAACTAAATGTAGAACATACTTCAGACTTTACTGGAAGTTAAACAAAAAACAAATACAGTATAACATAAGTAAGGCAACCTCTCACAGTCCTTATGAATGGTGGTAATCGTAATAATATTCAGGTCCATGTGTAATTTGGAATCTGAAAAAAGTTGTCTCAACTGTCCAAAATCACTGAATCAACTAGAGATTACAACAAAAAAAAACTAGTGGTACCCAAACCACAGTTACTGTTCTTCACATCCCCACTAGGCAACATACATGATGGCATAAAAAGATGACAACTGTATAAAATAATCACAAAATAAACATTTCAACAGGAAACACAAAAACTTGTACTACACATGCAAGAAACAAAGTGTCTCGATCTAAATTTTCAGTTAGTAGAAAATTGTGACATCACTCGTTCTTTTCCTGGGGCCTTCAATTGAAAAACATCATAGTCCAAATTCTATTCACTGCAGGTTTGAAAGAGCTAGCAACATCACTAATAAACCTATCAGTATTTAGGGAGAAGCAAGTAGCTGACATTTGTTGTAAAATGTGCTGTGAGTTAACAGGAGGTGTCTACCATATGAAGGTTAACTATAGGATGAAAGAAAGGTTGTATGAAGGGCAAATATAGGATGAAAGAAAGGTTAATGTATCCAAAAAGTCAACACAACAGAAAATGGTTGCTATGTTCATTTCACTGTCACTGTTTTCATACACAAGAACAGTGGGTGGTCGGCGGGTGCTCTGGTGTAATTTGCTCCTTTTTGCCTATCAAATATATCTATTGTCTATATTGCTCCTCCTTTTTTTTATGTTACTCTGGTAACACCTCTGATCTTCAGTACTTATGTGACCAAATGTATTTTAAGTGCCATAAAAAATCATACTAAAACCAAAACACTATAAACAGAACAAGAGGGCACATAAACTGCAACATAAACCTTTCTTGCAATGTCACATTTACATGAAAAAATGAGGTCATAACACTGATGATATTCTATTCCAAACAAATAGAAGCAAATCAGCATAATGATGGTTGTGCAGTAAAAACAAAAACCCACAGAAACAAAAGAGGCCCAGTGAAAATGTCCAACAATAAAAGCTAAACTGAAGGGTTGTGACCAGCTATTCAACTCAATATTAGGTGTTCTAAAAGTTCCTTTCTCTGTTAAAATGTCTCAATTTAACAGAAAACGGACATTGAATTGGAAGTCAGAAGCAGATAAGACATCTATTCATCTGCATCATTCAACATAAATGAGCAGCAAGAGACAGCATTCTAATCACCAATCAATCACCAATATGCTTTGTGTTTACATGAATAGCGTCTAGACAGAGAAGTGCTTAGCACTATATCAGGAAATGTGTATATTCGTCTGCAGCTAGACCACAATGCTGAAAAATAAACATGATTTACATTGAAAAAGCTAAAACAATAAAAATGTTTTGTAAATTATTGCAACTGTGTGGGTTAAAAATCATTTCCTGAAGAGTGTTAGTATCTCACATGTTGGCTCAATGCTGACTGCGTACTCCTCTTCCATCAACTTTTCATTGAAGCAAACAAGACCAGAGCCGGTTTGAAAGTATAAACGAAGATACAAAATATTCTCAGAGTCTTCATCCATAATTCCAGCCTGGCACTCAGGGTTTTCTGAAAATAAATAAAAGACTACTTTAAAACCAGAAACAAATAAATGAATGAATAGTGATTCAGAAATAAATTCTTTCTCAGTGTAGGTATTTTCCCAACTCTTATCGAAGCAGTACATCTCTGTATGTGCTGGTGACTGCAGGATGCACATGGCAGGCCTTACTTTTAAAAAATCACTTTTTATTTTTCAGTTTATCATACTTTTCCCCTGCACTAAAGGAAAATTACTATGTCAATGCGTATCTCATCAATTCAAACAAATAATAAATAAAACTATTTCGATGTCCTATAGGGTGAGCATTGTATGTCTTAGGTAACATTGATATTTGTCAACAAAATTCACCCTTACAGCCTCAGGCTATTTTTAACCCTCACTCTCTCTGGCCCAGGTAATTCTGGAGCCCATGACTCCTCGGGCCTCACCTATACTGCTTGTGACTGCAATTTGTCAGACATTAAACAAATTTTTATTCTGCTTTTCTTTTAACTTTTAAAAGACAATGCGTAGAATATTTTTCAGAGACAACTGGATATATTCAAAGCTGCCACTCAGGAATTTCAAAACAGGAGGAAATTCATGTGAAGGCATACGCGCGCACCCTGAAGGCCGGAGTAAAACCAGTGAAATCCAAACGCATGCTCTTGGAACTTCTATGTTTTTGAAAGGGAAAAGTGTCATCCAGACTCAATGACAAATCAGTGCGCTATCATCCCGATGCTCGACCGACATTGTCGCTCCACAATAAAAAACATGAAACTTCAGCGCCAGGCACAAAACGGAAGTAGGAAGCCAAATGCGGACATACCCAGGCCATGTTTTCATCTCATTCCCATTTGGTACTTTCCGCGAGTAAAAAAAAGCATCGTAATTTGCTACTGAGAGTGGTCCAGTGGAGGAAGGAGGAAAGTAGCGAAAGAAAGCAGGAAAAGCTAAATGAAGTGGAGGTAGTGGAGTTTTCGCTATTTAGCAGAAAAGTGGGAGCTATGATATTACAGTACAAACAGGCAACAGGGCGTGAGGTGGCCAGCATGGTGTGAGGAAAATATACGTGACTGGGCCCTGAGGGGAAATGAAAACTTGTAGGGGAACTATACCCCTCCAGACACAGTCACCACAAAAGTAATGGACATCCGAAGGCTCACCATTGGCCCATTTTCTCATCATAAGTACTGCGGAGGGATCCCATTTTAGACATGGCCTGCAACACAAAAAATACATATTTACTAATTATTATTACAACAGAAACTAAATTCAAAATTGTGATGTAATCTTAAGTAGAGAGATATCCCCATCGTAAATACATTTCACTAAGTGGACAAGTTTTCCGAAAAAAAAGAAAAAGATCTTAAGACAAAAATCGAACTGGTTTGCACAGAAATATAAAGTAACAAAAGGCAAGTTTCTTGCACAATAAGTTTGACATAAGGAAACTTCCATTTTATATAGTCAAGAAATTAAGAACTCACAATCATAAAAAGGTATCTTTTTTATAAGAATTATTGTCTCTCCTTTTCAAACACTATGGAGACTGGTGACAATACAAGAAATAACTGATGTCTTTGATTTTCAAGAAAATCCCTTGAAGAACAAATACCACAAGCAGGAAATCATAACTGTGTGCTCTCAAGAGCAAAACATTCATGGAGGCGGACTCAGTAGCTCAACAAGCTTGGTGTTCTCATGTCAGTCTGGAGGTCTGGACTTCAATCCTTGCCAGTGTCCAATTTTTCTCATGTTTCCTATCCAGGGCCGCTCATCTCAGTTACGGACAAAAAGTTATGGAGTGCCATGTTAAAGTTCCACATGTTAAAGAACCTTTGGAGGTTCTAAAATCGAAAAGAGTAGGCTCTTTAGACCACCGCATTGGCAAAACTCAAAATTAATTCCTTCCCAAGGGAGGAAGGGGAGCGAAAAGGAGGAAGACAAGGAAGAGCAGAAGAAGCGGGGAGGTGGAATATGAGGAGACGGAAGAGGAGAAGGAACATTCACATTATATACCTGTTCCTGGCCACCAGACCAGAGTCAGCTTCTGAGACAATCATAGACAAAGGCTGGACACCCCACAGAGAACACCGCCGGACCTGAGCTGGGAACTCTTTGAATTTGGACGGCAACCATTGCACCCTGGTGACAAAATACATCAATCAGAAGATAAAAAAGTATTAAAAAGTGTAAGTATATGGGTTTCACTCAAGCCGTATCAATGTTATAAGGTTATTTAACTCTCAGCAGTTCTTGGTATTTTGACCATTTTCGCCTTCACGGCACCCATGGTTAGTATGATTTACCATAGAATATAAAATACCACAG